TTTAATTTAAGTAAATTAATTTACTTGCTGATCAATACTATTGTTAATTTTTAAAAAATTGCATTAATTATTTTTAAAATAAATACAATAATTAAATTCTTTTTTTTTTAATATCATAATTAATTTTTGTAATTAAAAATTAAAAAATAATTCTTTAAATTTTTAGATAAATATTTTATTGAGGCAGTTCTTAAAAAATTGGCAATTAAAATAAATTTTGCACGCCTTATAAGCGAAGCGTTGAGGTAGTGCTCTACTCTCGACAAAAAAAGCACTTTTCTCCAAAGTGAAATTGATTTTTTTTTACTTATATCGCACTTACACGATAATATGAGTGCACTTATATCAAGTAAAATTATCTGTCAGGCACGTAAAATATATTTCAATAACAATTATTTTGTTTAACATTTAAAATAATAACATTAAAAATAATCTTTCCTGGACGTCCGTGTGTCTGTGTTTATGGATCCGTGTATGTGCCAGGGAAATTCCTCGAAAAAATAATCCTACCAGAATTATTTTTTTTTATCATCTAAAGTAATACACTAAGGACTTTCTCAATTAATATCACCGTTCAATTCACTGTCGTTTAATTATTATTTATAAAAAACTAAGATACGACCGTCTATTTGTATGTCTATATATAAATTTTATTACACACTGAAAAAAAAGTTTTTTTATACCCGGAATACTGAATATTTTTTAGTCGAGTTTTCTTGTACGAAGTAAAAGTCAAGTTAAATATTTTAGATTTAAGAAAACTGGCATTTTAAATCTGAGAATACCAAGTTTTTTAACAGGACTAAAACTAAATTCTATGTTACCATAGTAACCGTGACGGTGCCGCCACTATTTTGTCATTTCCCTCCAATCTACAGTGTACGCATGTTTTTTAGTTATTGGTTTACCTCGTGCCTGAGTCTAGTTACCTAAATATTTATTTATGTAAATTAAATAATTTATAAATTATAAATAAAAGTATTAATCATCAATATTACTTCCCCTTACTCCCTTACTTATATGGATTCTTGGATGCAAAAGAAGTTGTCAGAGTGGAATTTATCATCTCCAACAAATTTATAACTCATTTTAGCAATACATTCTTTCCTTATAATCAATTTTTATAATAAGGTAAAAGACCCAGTTATTTTCACTGGCCTATAGTTGTTTGACACTGGCAATTTTATTCTAATTAAAAAAATAAAATGTTCTCAAAAAACCAATTATCTTAAAATTTATAATTCAAATATAATGTTTATTAAATTATCAGAGTTGATTTATTTTTTTTAATTAAAATAAAATTGCAAGTGTCAAAAACTAGGTCTTTTACCTTAGTAATGTTATTAGTAAATTAGTAAAATAATGCTATTAGCAAGAAATTGCAATTTTTTGACAACAATGAGAATTAAAAAGAAGAAAAGAAAGGCTTAATATACTATTTTCCATTTTTATTAATTTTAGTGTGATAAATTGTTTATAAATGAAGAATTATAAAAAGTATAGTTTCTCATAATTATCTATCCTAAAGATTCGTGTCGACCAAGCGAGGTTAAGTCGGCCATATTGATTGTAGTATTTTAATAATGAGAATACAAAGTTTTTTTATATCCAGTAAACTTATTCCTATGGATAGTAAACTTTGGTATTCTTATTTTAGGAATACTTTTTTTTTAACCACAGGGAAAAGTTTTCTAGGAGGAAAAAAACTTTTTTTTCAGTGCAGTATTTCCCTCACAGAATTATGGAGCCACTAAACCATAGCAGAGTTTTCTGTTTTTTCTATTTTATTTTAATGAATTTTATTGTGGAAAATACGATTATGAGGCGTGCATTTTTGGATTTACCAATTTTTTTGTAAAAATTACTTTGTACTCACCGAATCCTCGGATATTTATCATAAGGGCTGCTGAGTCGCACAGAAAAGCTGGCTCCACTGTAATTTTTATAGATTAGTTAACACATGTAATTGTTTTTTTATTAAATTCAATAATTACCTTTCAATTTGCGTCGCCAAAAATGTAAATGTTAAGAATAAAACTGAACTTTTAATAAAGCCCATGATAAAAAAATTTTTCGACTATTCTTGATGCCAAGCAGCCAATAACTGAAGATTTGGTGTGTCGGAGATTGTATTTATACGGAGTTTGATGCTCTGTGATTGCGTAGTATCTGGAAAAACTAGTGGTATGACCATCGAATATCAATGATGTTTTTTTTATTTTTTTTTATCTTATTTTTATGTTAAAACTGTAAACTACGTTGCTCCAGGCTAACATACTGACGTGTTTTGAAATAGTTATCTTTAATTTTATAATTTTGTTTATTCAAACATTCATTTTATATATTCTTTTATCAAGAATCGATAAATATTTTTTAATTAACGAAAATTTAATATCTTATCAAAATAATCTTAATTAGATTTTAGAATTCTGAACAAAGATATTAATAATTGTAAACAGTTCTAAGAATTATTTTACTTAAATCAAAACGATCAAACTATTTAAAATTAATTTCTTTATTCAAAAATTTTCCTCTTAAATCAAATAAACTTTTCATAACTTCTATAAAATATCAAAAAGCGCGATGAGCGCTACTTTAATATACAATTGAGGACTCATAATTTAATATATTTGTTATCTAACAAGAATTTTAAGCGTAATTCCGAGAAATAAAAACAAATTTTTTTATTTATTTAATCATCTTAGCGTAAATAAACTTTCTGAAATGAGGTTATCTTTATTTTGAAGATCACGTCTGCCGGAAATGTAAATAAAATGACATAATTTTAAAGATCTAACCCAAATATGTGGATATAAAAAAATAAAAAATATATCGGCTTTTTTTGTCTGATATAAAACAAGCTCTTGATCCATAAAAAAAAAATATGACACTGGTTTCACCAGAGATTACCTTAACACAGATCAACAAACTCCGTATATCCACAGATTCGGTAGAATCTGGCGCCAAGTTCCGTTCAAATCCGTTGTCAACGGAGCGCCAGACTACCGACTGTGTTTACTGTAAGCAGAACGGTATTTTGAGGTTGCAAAATTTTATTTAATTCTACGGTACTTTTTTTTCCTAAATTGTATATTATAACAGTAATTCATACTTTATTTTACTGTTATTAATTAATTATATTCACATATAACAATTAATCTACTTGAAATTAATAAATTTAATCAGCACAAACTATAGCAACGCAAAAATTTCGATCCTGACTTTTTTTCGATGGGCAAAGTGATCTGCCACAGACTAAAATATTCGAGAATGCATAGTAATCCTTCATAAGATGGGACACTACAGTTAAAAAAAGATATTTCACAACTTGCATCTACACCCGCCAGGGTGCGCTAGAATTATTTTTACATAAACTGTAGCCTCAAGGGAATAGTTTGCTATAAAAAAAATGCACCCAACGCGAGATTTAAGTTGGTATCAATTGTAAATTTTTATTATAATTAAAAAAAATACTAAAATCCGAACAAAAACAGTTTCACTCTAAAAAAATCGCGCCAAGTCCACGTTCATAAAGACTATTAAGAAAAAAAAATTAGTTTTTTCTTTACAAAAAGATAAAAAATAAAAAAATTAAAAAATCCTCGTAACCGATATAATTGTTTATGATTTTCGAAAATTAAAAAAAATTTTGTTGTAAATTTAAAAATTAAAAAAAAAATTTTGGAACGTACTTGGTGTGCGCGGTTGCAAAATATTTTACTCTTAATTAAATTCGTAAAATCTATTTAATAGGACTTTAAAAAAATTGAAATGCACAATATAACGCACACCAAGTACGTTCCAAAATTGTTTTTTTAAATTTTAAATTTACAACAAAATTTTTTTTAATTTCCGAAAATCATAAACAATCATATCGGTTACTTGGATTTTTTAATTTTTTTATTTTATATCTTTTTGTGAAAAAAAAAACTAATTTTTTTTTTCTTAATAGTCTTATGAACGTGGACTTGGCGCGATTTTTTTACAGTGAAACTGTTTTTGTTCGGATAAATAAAACCTCTGACCCCCGAATCTTCAATGAGCGGCTGCCTGGCATCAGGAATAGTCAAATAATTTTTTGATCACAATGAACTGTATCAAAAGTTTAGTTTTTTTCTTAATTAACATTTGTATTTTTGGCGACGCTAATTAAATGGTAACTATTAAAGTTAATTAATAAACCCAAAAAATAAAATTACTAATTAAAAATGTTCAGTGAAGATGATTTACACCTGGGATTTAGCATTCAGTACAATTATACGGAGAAACAATGGGTCGCTGTCGATTTAATACTTAGAAATAACGCTTCTTATACATCCTGTATAAATGGGACATTATGGTCAGATGATTGGGAACGTCCAAACCCTTACCCTACATTAGAAGATACATGGACTGATTTTGGACCTTGTTTTACTAAAATCGAACTACTTAACGATAAATCCAAGTATTTATCCGAAGCATCTAGATTGTTCAACAAGTATAACATGAATGATATTCTGAACCAAAGTAATATTACTCATGGAAATAATTACACTTATCAAGAAATTTCGGACGCTGTTTCTAAGGCCACTCACGGAATAAAACCTGCTGTAAAATGTTTCCATAATCATTTTTACAGAAGTGGAAACAATTTGGTACTAGATAAAATAACACTATTTTTCGACAAATCTTTCAATTTAATCAATCCATTGAAACATCATTATCGTGGAATGTGCTCAACGTACTTGCCGATTGTCTATGAATATCCCAAAAAAATATCCCAGGAATATCTGAAAGAAACATTATGGATATCGAACATCCCCTACCCTTGTTTATGTATCATGATGACCCTCTTGATAAATATCCAACACTTCGGTAAGTACATTTTTTTTAATACATTCGAAAATGCTCTATTTGTAGATACATAATTAAGAAATGAGCTTGTATTTTGTGAACTACTGACATTTTTAAAGATATAAGCTCATCTTGATGTTATACTCATCGAGACCTTTCATTTGAGTACCCAGATCAATTTTTCATATATTTATATATATTATATATTATAAATATGTATATATGAAAAATATATCAAAAATGCAAATGGGTACTTAAATGAAAGGTCTTTATGAGTGTAACATAAAAATGAGTTTATACCTTGAAAAATGTCAATAATTAAGAAATGACCTTCTATTTTGTGAAATATTGACATTTTTAAAGATATAAGCTCATTACGATGTTACACTCATCAAGACCTTTTATTTGAATACTCACATTAAATTTCATATATTTTATATATTATATATATATGTATATATGAAAAATATATCATAAATGCAAGTGAGTACTCAAATGAAAGCTCTTGATGAGTGTAACATTGGGATGAGCTTATATCTTTAAAAATATCAAAAATTAAGGAATTACCTTAATTTAGTTCAAAAAATTTTTAAATGTTAACTTAACATATAACTTAAATTCTTAAGTGAAAAAAAAATTTTTTTTTCTCAAATCGATTTTTTTTGTACAATCTACTGATACATCAAAAGTAAATATTGCACATGCAAATGGTATAAATTTCAGGGAAGACGAAAATGGCTATTACTTGCTATCTCAAAAAGCCTACCCAGCTGACTGTCCTCGATATTGTAGAAATTCAACAAAATGTCAAAAGCCTAAGTATTCGTGGATCATAAGAGAATTTACTTTTATGTTCAAGGACAACATAGAATTTTCATGCGATACAGATGATCCTCATCACTATGACGCTAAATACAATTTGACTTCGCTGTCGTCTATCAAGAATGAGATAGTAGACAAGTGGGAAATTAAAGAAGATAATTATAATTGTGATAGTAAAGATGTTTTAATTAGAAAGTATTGGGAGAAACAAGGCATGTGTTCGGCTTATTTCAAGGAACTTACCAATGAATTCAAATTTTACAATAAATCACTCGAGTTGTTTGATAAATACAACATGGGTACAATTTTACGGCAATCTAATATTGTTCCTGGGAAGAATTACACTCATCGGGAAATCCACGACGCCGTTGCAAAGGGCATCGGTGGCAAGAAAGTCAGAGTTAGATGCGATCATCACTTTTTTGTGAGTTAATAATTTTTATTACTAATATAATAAAATAATGGAATAATATCAAGATATTGATAAGTATTTTTTGATTTTTTAGGGGTTTCAAGTGTTGTCTATAGTTGAATTTGTCATGGATAAAAATTTCAATCCTACTAATCCAATTGATAGATTGTTAAATTCCTTGATAGGCAGAGCACTTTCAATGTTCATGTCTGTAATCGTGATAAAGTTATATTTTATCAGGACTTTAACGATTTTGTCGAGGAAAAAAGGAAAGATGAGGAATGGGCAAGAAAAGAATTTGGTGACTTTTATACCAATAGAGTCACAAACATAATGAATATTTAATCGATTGAAGATTTAATCTTTTTATATTTGTATTTTTGCATTTGTATTTTTGAATAAAATAAATTTCTTCTAAAAAAATTTTTCTCTCCTATTATTTCACAGATTTTTAATTCTGATTTTTTGTTTCAAATAAAAAATATTTATTTTTACTTGACACTATAAACATTATTCAAAGAAACGTCATTTAATTTGAATTTATATCTTTCAGCTCAAATGATAGATAACTTTTTGACCGTAAGAAGATTACTTTATTTTAATCTTGTAATTTGAATAGTTTTGAATAAATAAAGACGATAATTTTATGGTAAATATTTTTAGAGTTTAAAAAAAATATAAACATCAACATTCAATGATGTAACGCTAGTTAAGTTCTTTGTCCTCCAATCAACACATTAATATAAATACACTCTCTAAGTCTCGAAAACTTCAGTTAGCGGCTACCTGGTACACGGAGAGAAAAATATGGAAATCATTCCTATAATTTTAATGAAATATTTTCCTATACCATTTTAGGAGCGATTACTTAAATTATGGGAATTATATCCATAAGAAAATTGTTTTCTTCAAAATGGTATTTTTGATTCAAGATATTTTTTTTTTAATCAAGTTAAATTTTTTGTCAGTGTGCGCAACTAAAAAAAAATCATGCATTTATATCATTTTTTTATTAACAAAAATTGCATAAAGTTTCATTACAAGTTTTCGGTACACTTGTAGAAATAAAAAAACTCAAAGAATAAAATTTTGATAAAATCTGTCGCAGTCATATTATATAACATGAAATAAATGAATATAATGCACATTATCGTTTAAAATTTTATCATAATATATGCTATACTACTTAATATATTTTATTAATAGTTTTCAATATATGAAGGTATCTAATTATCGTAGAAATAAATATATAAACGTCAAATGCGAAAAGTAAATAAATGTCTTCTAATATAAAGCAAGGGTATTTATTGATCGTTAAAAAATTTAATGATCTACTAAAAAGATTTAAGCTTTTAAATATTGAGTTATTCAAAGTTATTTAAAAAGTCATTAAATTTTTAGTATTTAATACCCCTGATCAATAAAAGTAACAGCTTGATATAGTACATATATAATAATGTTCTCTCTATAACATAGAATCACTCAACTTTTTTTTATTTATTACATTTATATTTTTATTGATACAATATAAAAGCCTTAAGGGCCGAAAGTAGTATCAGAAGTACAACAAAATCCGCTTCTTCATGAATAATAATAATAATAATAATAATAATACAAAGTATGCGATAACAAGAAGCTACTTGGACAACGGCTCGTATTACCACCATACCTTTACTTTTATTCGCCAACGGTGAAATCGATGGACATTTGATCGGCTACATAAAATATACGATATATTATTAAACATTATGTCGTATTATGGTATATATACAACGCGACGAAAGTCGTCCATCGATATTTTATTTAATTCGTTCTTTACTTGTATTATAAAAGAGCCTCAGGCATTTATTTATTTATTTTTCGATTTTCAATTGGTCGAGAAGTCCATCTACAGATAACACACTACCGGATTCTGAAGATGTGATCTGACATGCTTGCTATATTATTTTTTAAATATTATAAAAGCTACCATTCAAATAAAAATCTCCATTTATATAAGCTTTTGAAACCTGCAATTATACGTGCATTTGTGAAAGGCCCACGCAATTCTTCAGATATTTTTTATCTTGACCATTACACATGTTTATTCATATATTTTTACTTCTAATTATCTTGTAAGTTATTCTTGTACACGGAAAAAAAAAATTGACAAGAGAAAAATTTTTAAACTTGCACTGATAGAAGGATTTTTTATCCTTCTACCAACATCGACCACCAACAAAATATTTGTTAACTATTAACAAATCTTATTTGGTGGAAATAAATACTTTTTTCAATACACAAAAGCTTCTTAATAGTTACAAAAATTTTGTTCTCATAAAAAATTGATTTAGTTAATACTAACGAATATTGTTAATAGTAAAAAAATATTTTTTCCACCCAAAAAAATATCTGGAAAAGATTTTAATAAATTAATTTATTAAATACAAACAAATCCTTCTATCAGTGTAAGGCAAGTGTTTTGTAGTTGAGCTATTGTTAAACACATTAAAAATTCTTTTGTCTATGTCCAGCATGATCATAGATAAATTTCATAGTAGAAGTGTCAATTAACTAACGATTTATATTCACATACACTTTTAATGTTCTTTGTCAAGAAAAACTGTGACAATATTTCTGCCTTTGTTCTATGATTTCCGGAAACATATATGTATAAACTGTTTCACAAAATATGTTTTATCATCTGTTGAAATTTTTTTTTAGTTCGACAGAGGGGATAATACTACTCGCGGAAAAATTCAAATTAAAAACGAATAATTTTTATTATGATCTAAATAATTTATGTATGACATGAGTGCTTAAGGTGGTTTATAATTTCCGGTTTATAATAGCGGAATATAATTATATTACGGACCGGATAGCTCAAATGGTAGAGTAGCCGACATGTCTTCGGAAGGTTCTGGGTTCGAATCCCAGTCCGAGCTATCTAATAATTTTTTCTCGCATATTCTATAAACTCACATTAAGATGATCCTCTCCACAATCCTTTCTCAATCCTTTCCTACCAATTATCCTGTTACGTGAATGTTGGAACGCTTCACGTAATAAATTATCCGTAACTCCTATTCTTTCCCGCTTCACAGCATTATTTATATTTGTTAAAAAATGTGGAACGCTTCACGATTTTGCGTGTCATCCTATAAGTGTCCTAATATCTTAGGAATAGTTTTAATGATGACAAGTCATCCTATAGGAGTACTAATAAGTACTAATATCTAAATCAAAAATTAAAGAACCCAGATGTTCACTATTAATATTTGAACAGTGGCTATAATAAAGAATTCAAATAAGCTCCTAATTCAATACAAAGGATTGAGAAATAGATAAATCTAAACAAATATAGATTAAGAAATACCAACGAAAAAAAAATATAATAAATAAAAATAAAAAAATAAATAAAAAGGAATGCTCATTTGGATTTTACGAACGTTTATTATATTATTGTTATTTATAATGTAAATTTCTCTCTGTTTCGCTTTTCCGTGAATATAACAACAAACAGAACAATTTTTAAACTTATAACTTTTTTACTTTATGATACATTCTATATATGTATATACATATATATTATTATTGATTATGTTGGTGCTTACTTGATCCGAAAATAAATGTTTTTTAAAAATAATAATAATTGTTGTTTTTCTATTATTCCTATATTACCTTGAAATTTTTTAATTAGACTATGCACGGGAATCCCCTTCAATAATAAAATCCATTATAAAAAACTTGTTTTTTACTTTTATCAATTTTTTATAAAAGCTCTTTCTAATCATAAAAATAATTACCTTCATTAAATAAAGATATATTGTTTTCGTGGCATGTTGTTATCTGCATCCATTACACTAATGTATTATTAAAGTCTACTATTTCGTAATTTAACCTTGGTACAATAAAAAATTTAAAAAAAAAAACAAAAAAACCCCTACATTCCTTTAAGCTTACTCAAAAATCTTCCACTAGGTTGCTCTTGAAGTTAAAAAATTTTTAAATTAATGTCGATAAAAATTCTCTTGAACGAATTGTTAAATTTTGTATTTGCTTGAATTTTTTACGCAAAAAAAATTTTAGAAATGTCAAAGATATTATGATTAACAACTAAGGTAAGTATTTTGTAGCTAAGCTATTGTTGAACACATTAAAAATTCTTTTGTCTATGTTCAGCATGAATTTTTGATAATGATCAACTAACGACGATTTATCAAACTTGTTATTGAAAATTAAAACACATTTTTAATTAAGCGGGAATTCTTGATCATAGATAAATTTCATAGTAGAAATGTCAATTAATTATCGATTTATATCCAATTATACTTTGAATGTACTTTATTGGGGGAAACTGTGACAGTATTTGTGCCTGTGTCTATGATGTTCGGAAATATATATATATATATAAACTGGTTTACAAAACATGACTTTGATATTAAATCAAACTGTTTGCCGAACTGCGGAATTTTTCAGTAAGTACAAATTATTTTTATTAAATATATTTATAATGACGGGCTAAGGAAAACCACGCAAAGTAGTCAAATTTTTAAAACTTTCTGAAAATTTGTAAATTTAATCTACATAGTCTTATAATTAATAAAAAAAATGTAACAGTAGGTTTTCGGAGTTTAATCAAATAATTAGGTTTGAAAATTGTAATTTTTATATGTAAAATGGAGATTCCACCAGCCGTGTATTTGGTTAAGAATTTAATGCAATTAACGATTTTAAAAAAATTATATTTTTATTGAATTTGATTGAAAAAATAATAAGCTAAAGATTAAAACAATAAAAAAGTAGCTTTCCGAACGTATTACGGAGATATTTTATATTTTTTATGAAAAATCAATCGGACACTTGTGTTGTTTAAAGTCTTGTATTTGACTTGGCAACACCGCTTACTTAGTTACCCATGCGCATAAGTAACCAAGGTTTTCTAAATGCTAGAACATCTTAGTCATTTTAGTTAGACAGTAAAGATAAATAAATTTTAAAGTTAGGGACACTCTTTTTGTGTGGTCAAGTATATATTCCGGTAATTCAGAGTGCTATATTGTTTTATTAGTCAATTAAATGTTAATAATTATTTGATGAGTAAATTTATCGGAAATTTTCTCAACAAATGTTATTAATTAATTTAAAAGTTAATTTTAAGATAACAAAAGTATTTCTACGTATTATTTTTTAATAGACATTATTTACACTAGAAAGGTACTTGGATCTCCTTAAATATATTTCTATCAACTTGTTTGCTAACAAGTAGCAGAAATGAATTTGAAATTGGGAATATTCATTTCGCTGCTATCTTTGGTTGCCTGTGCATCATTGACCAAAGAAAAATATTCTAATGAAACGGCTATATCTGCTAAACCGAGACACCCCAGAGCTGTACCGCTCATAATAGCTGCAGGAGCTTTAGTATTAAACACAAAGAAAGCAGTCGATGTAATAAATATAGTTACCGGATTCGTTACCGGAATGGACGGTGTGATAAACCTTATAAAAAATGACAAAAGCGAAGAAGAATTCCAAAACGAAGTTAGAGCTAAGCTCAAGGATTTCTCGAAGAAAATGGACAATTTGAACCAAGGAATTGAAAAGCTTCACAGTCTTATGATGCATAGTACCGATCGCATTATTGCAGACACTCGATTGCAAGGTTATGAAACATTTAGGCAGCAATTGAATGAAGAGCTTAATTACATTGAAACTAAATACATGAATAGTATTGCTCCGATTATTTCTAACTTATCGAATTATGATCTCCAAGCTCTCAACGAACATCTTAAGCCGATACTTGAAAATGGGATTTTGGAAGAAAAGCTGATTCGTATTAAATTTAGTTCGGAATTGCACGGAAAGACACATAGGGAAGAAACTAAAAATTTATTTGGAAGTGTGGCTATTATTTCGAAAGATCAGGTATAAAAATTTTATTTTTATATTTATTAAGTGTAAAGCTAATTTTTAAACAAAATAAGGGAATAATTTTAATTTTTCAATTTATTAAACTTTCTAAAAGTTAGTACATTAATTAACATATTAAATGATACAATAATTGGTACAATATCTAATTAAACCAACAACCGATGTCATATGAGCTCCTAACAAAATAAACAGCAATTATTTTTATTTTATTACTTATAATTTGAAAGTTATCTCTCTTATTGCGAGATAGTTTAGCGATCGTGCGCCACCTGTTAGAGACTTTTAGAACTGTTTGATAAAAAATTTATTTATGAACATATATGACCACGTCAAATCATAAATTAGAATGTAAAAAAATTTTTTTAGTTTTTAGTATATACAGAAATTTTTTACAAGCTAAATAAATAAATTATCTATTATCAAAATACTATTATTTTAGAAAGATAAGCATTTGGAGTGTAACGATATTTCTGTATACGACAAACTGTTCTTCTACTATGACTACGTAGTAAAAATGGTCACTCAAGGTTACAACATGCTTCTCTGGACTTATCAATACCGCAGATTACAAGACCATGACCACAATGGTACCTATGCATAATTATTTAATTATATCCTATTGCATTCTACCAGAAAAATTATTTATCTCATATGAAAAATTTTATTTTTAGTAATTAACAAAAACTTGCAATTAGTGCTTCAAAATCGACAAAAAGAAGCCGTCGTTAAGATAACTGAAGCCGCACAACACCATTTGCGTTTAGTAGACAATATCAGTTGGAGGTCTGCATACGCTTGTGATCCTGAACGATGGGAAGAAGGTATTACATATTGCGATGAATAATTCCTTCTAGATTTAAACTATTTTTTATTATTCAATCAGGAAAAAATTACATCCGAGTAAAACCTTTCAAACCAAAGGGCTGTGGAGGTGTTCCAAACTGTGAGGCGTCGAGGCCCACTCTGACTGAGCTTCCTAGTATATTCAGCTTGATGCTTGTATCTTGTGACACTTCCAAATACGAGTAATAGACTAATTTTAAATTAAACTGCACCTAACATCAAGATGTCATTACCATCAATTAATTTTTCTGCCTTTAGAGTTGTAACAAATGCCCGATTCTACGAAAAAGACGGAATCATTGGCATGGAACCTCAGTGTGCAGTTTTCGTTGAGGGCAAAATCGATCCTCAAACTGCTAGATGGAACACCTGGAACAAAGACCACTACAGCAGGGACAACCTTCCGCCTAATTATATAGAGCTTGGTGACCGAGTAAGCTCATTTTACTTGGACGATATTGTGCTGCCTGAAGGCGAATTCCTCACAGGCGTTGGATTCAAGATCTTAGATCACGGACGCCATGAGACCAGTCGTATATCGATAGTTGCTCAAGGAACGAAAATGTATGACTTCAAGGGTAACCAAACTGATATAGGGAAAACTTTCGATCGTTATCCGGTTCGGGATAATTCAAAATCAAAGTAAGGTCAATTCAGTAGCACAATAGCACGCTTTATTGCAAAAAGTTTAGAATCATTGTTGATCTTTTAATTTCAGGCATGTCAAATCGCCAGAATACATCCTTAGCTACCATCTAGCGACGACACAAAATGCCCAAACTTACGAAATGAGTCAACCCGGACTTGAGTTTGTCAACTTATTTTACACTCGTAGAGGTATAAGGGTTGACAACTTCCCATCAGTAGGGCCGAATATCGATATGAATGAGTACAAGCCGTTTCAAATGTTACCACTGGGTGGAATTGGATTTATGTACAAGAGTGTACCCAACCACTTGGGACTTTTGGCATTCAAATTTATTTCCACGAAGTATACGTCTTATATCCGGGAAGACTATGCTGAACGGCTGAACCAAGGAAAGCCGTGGTAAATGCAATGTGTGTTTACAAACTGGAAATTGATAGATTGTTGATAAAAATATATCACTGCTATTTTTTTGTTAGATTTATTTTAACAAGTTATGATTTTTCTATATTTAAGCTATATAATGATTAGAAATAAATCAAGAAAATTATAGTTTGTTGTTGAATTATTAAATAAAAACTGTGTAAGCATTATTTTTCACGGCTGTTTTATTTGTACCCTAGTAGCCAGACTTTCTCAGCAAAATGTTGACTATAAGCAATTTCGGTAAAGTAACCGTAAAATTTACGGCAAGATGACTTAGTATGAACTACGTACACAATTATACACAATATATACGAAAGGCTGAAAAAATAATTCGGACGGCCCAGACCAGGACTCGAACCTGGATCTTTTGGTTACGCGCCAAAGGCTCTACCTGTTAAGCTATTTTATCAGTCAAATTTATCTTTAATTACAAATTTAGATATGAATTGTGGATGAGTTGCTTATGCCTGGAGAGAAATACAGGCTAACAATATTACGAAAAATTAGAGAAAAAAATTGTTGTATTAGACTGGACAGCCAATAAACTAAAAATATATAAAGTATTATAAAACCAGTCTTTAGAAAAAATAAAAAAAATATTGATTATATTGGTGCTTACTACATCAAAAAAGAATAATAATTATTATTCCTGGATATAATCTCGGTATGTCGTTATCTACATCCATTCCACGAATCTATTACTATTTCGCAATTAAATCTTTATATACTAAACAAAATTTTTTTATCAATGTCAGAATGAATATTTTACTATGATTAATTAACGACGACTTATTAAACTTGTTATTGAAAATTACAAAATATTTTTATCCATAAACACTTTTAATATTCTACGATAAGATAAACTATGACAATATTTCTGCCTATATCTACCCTTTTTATGAATATATATAAATTGGTTCACAAAACATAAGTTTATTTTCGACTTAAATTGTATACCAGACCGCAGAATCGTTCCGTAAGTATAAAAAACTTTGATTAAAATATATTTTTATTAATTTGTTAATAATAAATAATTGAAAATTTACACCACGTTTGCTAACAAAAAGCAGAAATGAATTTGAAATTGGGGATATTTATTTCACTGCTATCTTTGGTTGTCGGTGCATCGTTGACCAAAGAAAAAAATTCTAATGAAACGGCTATATCTGCTAACCCGAAACACCCCAGAGCTATACCACTCGTAGTAGCTGTATTACCGTATATAATTAACACGAAGAAAGTAATCGATGTAATAAATGTAGTTACCGGATTGGTTACTGGAATGGACGGTGTAATAAAACTTATAAAAAATGACAAAAGCGAAGAAGAATTCCAAAACGAAGTTAAAGCTAAGCTCAAGGATTTATCTACGAAAATGGACAATTTGAACCAGGGAATTGCAAAACTCCGCGATTTTATGATTGCAGACACTCGACTGCGAGGTTATGAAACATTTAGGCAGCAATTGAATGAAGAGCTTAATTACATCAAAACTAAATATATGAATAGTATTGCTCCGATTATTTCTAACTTAACGAATTATGATCTCGAAGATATCAACCAACATCTTAATCCGATACTTGAAAATGGGATTGTGGAAGAAAAGCTGATTCATATTAAATTTAGTACGGAATTGCATGGAAAGACACATAGCGAAGCAACCAAAAATTTATTTGAAAGTGTGATTAATATTTCGAGAAATAAGCTAGGTATTATAAAAATTTTATTTTTATATTTATTAAAACTACTCAAAATTTCAAATTTTTGTAAAAAGTTTTTGATAAAGGCAAATGAAGCTAATTTTTAAATTAAATATCACCTGATATAGTCATATATGATGTCATATAAGCCCCTAAGAAAATAAAAAGCAATTATTTTTATTTTATAACTTATAATTAGAAAGTTAACTCTCTTATTGCGAGATAATTCAACGATCATGCGCCATCTGTTGGAGGCTTTTAGAACTTTTTGATTGAAAATTTATATTCGGACATATATGACCACATCAAACCTAAAATTAGGATATAAAAAATTTTTTTTAGCATTTAGCATTTTTTTAGCACATATAGAAATTTTTCCGGACTAAATAAATAAATATCTATTATCGAAATACTATTATTTCAGAAAGAGAATCATTTGGAGTGTAATGATATTTCTGCATACGACGAACTGTTCTTCTACTATGACTACGTAATAAAAACGGTCACTCTAGGTTACAACATGATTCTATGGAGTTATCAATACCGCAGATTACAAGACCACGACCGCAATGGTATCTATGGACATTTATTTAATTATATCCTATTGCATTTTAACAGAAAACTTATTTATCTCAAATGAAAAATTTTGTTTTTAGGAATTAACAAAAACTTGCAATTAGTGCTTCAAAATCGACAAAAAGAAGCCATCGTTAAGATAACTGATGCCGCACAGCACCATTTACGTTCAATAGACAATATCAGTTGGAGATCTGGATACGCTTGTGATCCTGAACGATGGGAGGAAGGTATTACATATTGCGATTAACAATTCCTTTTAGATTTAAACTATTTTTTATTATTCAATCAGGAAAAAATTACATCCGAGTAAAACCTTTCAAACCAAAGGGCTGTGGAGGTGTTCCAAACTGTGAGGCATCGAGGCTCACTCGGACTGAGCTTCCCAGTAGATTCAGCTTGATGCTTGTATTTTGTGACACTTCCAAATACGAGTAATAGACTAATTTTAAATTAAACTGTATCCAACATCAAGATGTCATTATCATCAATTAATTTTTCTGCCTTTAGAGTTGTAACAAGTACCCGATTCTACGAAAAAGACGGAATCATTGGAGTGGAACCTGAGTGTGGAGTTTTCGCTGAAGGCCAAGTAGATCCTCAAACTCTTAGATGGAACACCTGGAACAGAGATCACTACAGCAGGGACGACCTTCCGCCTAAGTCTATAAGCCTTCGCGAGGAAATAGATACATTTCATTTGGACGATATTGTGCTGCCTGAAGGCGAATTCCTCACAGCCATTGGAATCATGGTCGTTGATGACCCTTTGAGAATATATATTCCAGGCGCTTAGTCGTTAGTTGCTCAAGGAACGAAAATGTATGACTTCAAGGGTAACGAATATGATACAGGGAGAACTTTCGATCGTTATCCGGTTCAAAGGGATTATTTAAGTTCAGAGTAAGGTCAATTCAATAGCACAATAGTACGCTTCATTGCAAATAATTCGGAATTATTGTTGATCTGTTGATTTCAGAATAAACCCATGGCCGGAATACATCTATGGCTACTTTTCAGCGACGATACAAAATAACCAAACTTACGAAATGAGTAAACCCTCAAATGTTCATGCCAACATATTCTATATTCGCAGAGAATTAGTCATTGATCACTTCCTATCAACAAAGTCGTATATCGATATGAGTGAGTATAAGCCGTTTCAAATTTTACTGCTGGGTGGAATTGGATTGACGTACAAGAGTGTACCCAACCGCTGGGGACTTTTGGCATTAAAATTTATTTCCACAAGGTATACGTCTCACATCCAGGAAGACTATGCTGAACAACTGAACAATGGAAAGCCGTGATAAATGCAATGTGTGTTTACAAACTGGAAATTAATGGATTGTTGATAAAAATAAATCATTGCTATTTTTTTATTAGATTTATTTTGTCTATATATCTGAGCTATAAAATAAATAAATCAACGAAATTCAAGTTTGTTGTTGAATACATAAACAAAAACCGTGTTAACATTATTTTTCCCGGCTGATTTTTCTTTATGTTGGAATGAATAATACACTTTTACGATAATTTATTTTATTGATAGTGACCTGTAAGGAAAGTTACTTTACGATCAGTTGATAACATTTTTTTCATAGTTATATCTACATCTGTTTATCAACAGAGCATGGTAAGACAGAAACATTAGACTTCATGAATGATATATCTTTCGTAGATTTGTAGTTGACTTCCGAATGATCAGTCAGTAATCAATAACTTACCACTGGCGACCTATGTATGCCGCTTGCGACCTGGATTAAGTAAATCGAACGCCGTTCCAGCTTGCAATTGCTCCAACAAACTATCCATTATTCCCGTCTTAGTTTCAGGAGCGTTTTTCTCAAGTATCAAACGTTTTGACTCTGTAGAAGCCGCTTGCTTCTGCACTGAGAAGAAACCACTGAATTTATAAACTGAAGACATGCGGCTCTCAAATCTTTGTTCTGCCTGTTCATAAGTCCTTGGACGACCGGCAGAAATCTCTTATGTCTTCTCAGCTTTCCGTTCATCGTTACCGCGTTCAAGACCTTCTTGTGGGTGTCGTTGGAAATGAGACAAGTCACTCCTAATAATTTTAGGGCCTCGTACATCGTTCCCGGCTTGCTTGGATCCAAGAATAAGACGACTATCATCAGAGCTTCCTGGTGTTCTATCAACGCTTTGAGTCCTACTGTGTTGTTTCCAAATGCTATAAGACATCTAATGCATTCGTATTGGATTCTTTCGTAAGGTTTGTTGCTGCGAATGGATAAAAATTAGTTGATAATGTTCTTGGAGCAAGAATATTTTTTCTTGAATGAAGATATTTTCTTTGTCAGTGTAATTACTTCTGAAAAATCTCGTAAAGGATTCTTAGAACTTGATTCAATCCGTTGAATCCAAATTCGTGGACCCAGCTCAACGGATTCTTTTCCAACGCTTTTGTGAGTAATTGGACGCAACTGTAAATATTATTTTCGCTACGACCTCCTTGCGCGAGATATTGAATATACTCATCGGGGCTGTTAAATCTCATTTCTTATTGGTATATTGCAACATTAATTAAAATTATTCCAATAAAAAGAAACGCTTTCTTCCTTGTCGAAGGTTAACAAGTGATTAATAAAGATAATTTTCAACAGAATAATTGACTTCTGCTATTATGAATAATGTCGTTGATACTTATAATAAGTTGCCACTTTCTTATCGCTTTGGAGAAGCGATAGACAAATTTATCGTAGCATTAGAAAAAAATTTATAGTAAGCATTAATGCTTATTTTATTATTTCCAAGACAGTAACTAGATTTTCGAGGAAGTTGGATTTTTAGCTTCAAAAGCTACTAACTTTACAATATAAAAGTTTTTTAGCGTTTGTTAACTTTAATATAACAGAAAATGTCCAGGGATTGCCTTTAGAGTTAATCATATCCAGGATTTTTAAATTGTTACAATAATAAACAAAATTTTAAATTATAACTTTAATGACAATTTTCGAGAAAAGCTTCTCTGAATTTTACAACTATTCTTTCCCAAAATTATTTTTTTATCCCAAAAACAATGACTTTGTTACAGCAAAAAAATGATTTTGTTACTGCAACAAAATTAACAGAGTAATGGTAGCTAAATTATTTTATAGTCCTAACAAAATCATTTTTGGACAACGGATTACATTTAGTGACGTAACAAACTGCTTTGTTATCACAACTTGACTAATTTTACTAAGAAAACTAATAGATTTTTTATTTTGGCTAATTTTTATGCTTACGAAATATTTAAATATAAAATAACTTGCAAAATTACAATATTTTTAAATAATTAAAATACTTGCAATTTTTTTTACAAAATGGTTATAAATTTTTCTTACTTAAAAAAAATTTAAACTTCGGACAATTTTCCCGGAGTCGTAAACAAACCGGGATTTTTTTATCCAGCCGGACCATTAGCTCACGCGGAAAGATCCAGGTTCGATTCCTCGATAATGTAAAATAATTTTTTTGTCAAAAAAAAAATCTAAAATCACTGAAATATAATTAAAAATAAATAATTTCTAACTTTTAACAAAACTTCCTTTTAATTTTCAACAAAGTAAATTATTTTATCCTAACAAAATCATTTTTGAACAACAGATTAATTTAGTGACGTAACAAACTGCTTTGTTATTACAACTAGACTTATTTATTTAATTATCCCTTATGTTGTTATTTTATTTAAAAAAAAATTATTTTTATACATAAAATATATTCAATATTTTTAATTTTGTCGTGAAATAATAAGACTAATATTTGTGGTAATTAATTGTTTATTTAATTATAGTATAACATAACAAGTAAAGAAAGATTTATGTGTGTATCGTTATTGCCGGGTAACTTTAGAATGGAGTACAGAATGTATACTGTACATAGGTACTATAGTGGGGAGATAGGTTGCTCCGACGGCTCGGCGTGATTGTAGCATTTACAACAAATTTCAATCTTTAAATTATTTTTCTCAACAATTTAATCATCTGATAATAATGATCCCGATGTTCTTGATGATGATGTTGATGATAATGATGATTCTGATTCTGATAATGATGATGATGACGATTGCACATATTTCCTTTTCTTAAACGGCAGCTGACTTTCATCACCCGAAGAAACTTCTTCAAATCTCTGTTTATCAATTTTAACAATTACCGGTAATTGCTTAAGCTCCATAAACCAATTGTGCATAGAAATCGCCCGAGTTTTCGAGCACCTAGCCCACTGATTCAATTTGTGCCATTTGCAAGCTATCCTATCAATACTTGGTCGATACTTTAATTTCTCCAAGCTTCTAAAATTCAAATCGTTACCAAGCAATGCGTGTAATACTCGCATTTTTCTGTCAGACTCAACATAAATCTCTTTAGCTGGTCTTAAATACCCTCTCAAACACTGACTTTGCCTGTTAAGGACGTGTTTTCCGTTTTTCAGAGGAATACCAAAGCGGTTGAGATACGCTTTGACTCCCTCTTGAAGATGTTCTGACCACTGCAAATAGTTGCGGTCGTCTATGAAAATAAAATGCTTCTCAACAGAGGAACCAAAGCCGTCAACTGATAAACTTACAGCGTAGAGCTCTTTTATGCAAAATTTATTTGTTGGGTCAGGGTAGCCATTGAAATCCATGAATATGATCTTGTCTTTAAAAACGTCTTTGCTTCGGGGCATTATAATATTTTTTCGACAAATTAATACGAAAGATACGTCTTCTGTCTAATAATATGTTAAATATTATTTAATAAATTTTTTTTGACGTGAAATTTTGCGTTGAGGTAGTGAGTGCTCTTCTCTCAACAACGTTCTTTTTGTACCCCACATTTTTTTCAATCGCTTGAAATTTGTGGTTCAATTTTAATTAGCAATTTTTTGTAACTAATTTAAGTAAATTAATTTACTTGCTGATCAATACTATTGTTAATTTTTAAAAAATTGCATTAATTATTTTTAAAATAAATACAATAATTAAATTCTTTTTTTTTTAATATCATAATTAATTTTTGTAATTAAAAATTAAAAAATAATTGTTTAAATTTTTAAATAAATATTTTATTGAGGCAGTTCTTAAAAAATTGGCAATTAAAATAAATTTTGCACGCCTTATAAGCGAAGCGTTGAGGTAGTGCTCTACTCTCGACAAAAAAAGTACTTTTCTCCAAAGTGAAATTGATTTTTTTTTACTTATATCGCACTTACACGATAATATGAGTGCACTTATATCAAGTAAAATAATCTGTCAGGCACGTAAAATATATTTCAATAACAATTATTTTGATTAACATTTAAAATAATAACATTAAAAATAATCTTTCCTGGACGTCCGTGTGTCTGTGTTTATGGATCCGTGTATGTGCCAGGGAAATTCCTCGAAAAAATAATCCTACCAGAATTATTTTTTTTTATCATCTAAAGTAACACACTAAAGACTTTCTCAATTAATATCACCGTTCAATTCACTGTCGTTTAATTATTATTTATAAAAAACTAAGATACGACCGTCTATTTGTATGTCTATATATAAATTTTATTACAGTATTTTTTTTTCCTCAGAATTATGGCGCTACTAAACCATAGCAGTTTTCTATTTATTGTATTTTATTTTAATTAATTTTATTGTGGAAAATGAGAATATGAGGCGTGCACTTTTGAATTTTTCAAAATTTTTTATGTTATATTCAATTTATTATTAAAGAAAATTTTTATTATTCAAACTGCCATCTGTTAGGTATAAAAAAAATTTGTTCCAAATTTTTTACATACCTTCATTTGATTTGTAAATTTTTATTTATTAAACATCGATAAAAAAATTTAATTAATTATTTAGCTGTCGGTAACACCAAAATTCTATAAAATAATTTACCATTCGGTAATACTCTCAATAATAGTCCAAAAATTTTCCGTCAGATGGCGCCATAGTCATAAAAATCGTCAAATAATTCCTTTGGCTACATTGGTTAAACCAACGCCTTGTATTTTATATTACTTTTTTAATTATAAAATAATTTACCATTCGGTAATACTCTCAATAATAGTCCAAAAATTTTCCGTCAAGATGGCGCCATAGTCATAAAATCGTCAATAATTCCTTTGGCTACATTGGTTAACCACGCCTTGTTATTTATATTTACTTTTTAATAATCAAAAAAAAAAAAAAAATAATTCCTATATAGCAGAAAAAAGATAAAAAAAAGTTACTAATACTCTTTAAAATTTTTTTTTTCTTAAAAATGATAATTAAATAAAAATGTAAATTTTCTCAACACTTTTTTTATTTTTTTAATTTAAATTAAAAAAAAATTTTTTTTTTTTAATTCTTATAATATTAATCATAAAAATTTTAATAAATTAAAATAAAAATAAAAATAATTTAGTAAACTTAAAAAATAAAATTATAATTTTAACGACTTAAAAATTCTATCCTTTCTATATCTGTAACAACATCCGGTGACTTATGCGGCCTACCTAAGAAAATTTCGATAAAAGATAAAAAAACATTTACCGATTCTTACAATCACTCTGATCACACCATGACTAATGAAAACAGACTCACAAAAAAAAAAAAAAAAAAACAAATTTTCAACCCAAATTTTTTTATTTCAAAGGATTGTATTTTGTCGGTTAGAGCGAACTGGCCTCGAAAAAGAATAATTTTCCAAGAAAAAATAAAATTTATTAACCTTGATTTTATTGTCGTATCTCGTAGCTCAGGTCACTCGATTTTTATAGCCTTTTTTCAATGGACTTTTTATGTGATTTTCATTCATAAATAAACGTACGAAGAATTAAAAGCAATCTTAGGTCCGTTTCATGTTATTTAACTTCTACATAATCTTTTAAATTTTTATCATCTCAGTTCTTAGTCAGAAAAAATTCTTGTTAGAATCTAAATTGAAAACACTATTTGCGGTGGACAATACAAGTTTCTTCTTTTATATTTTTATATTTATGCTTTTTTTTTGTTCGATTCTTTTTTTTGTAGTCTTGTGTTAGGTAAGGGTTGTCCGGTAACGGTCATAATGAGGACAAAACCAATGCGTTTAAAGATAAATCACTCGTGTCATGGTAGTTAACGGAAGTATTTTTTATTTTTTATATTTTATACCAAAAAAAAAAATACACTGAGAAAATACGCCTAATAGTGCTCTACTCTCGCTTTGCCAAAATCAACCAACTTTCTGAAGTAAAAATCTCTCTATTTAATTAAAATTGCACTTATAGAATAACATAAATCCACGTATGTCAATAAAAAACACCGATTTTAACGGATTAGATATTTTAAAAAGACATTTATTTTATTTAGTGTAAAAAAAAAAATGAGAAAAAATTTCCGAGCTTGTCCGGATGTCTGTATGTGCGGATTTGGCACGATAACGCCCTTAAAGCTCAACATATCGAGACAATTTTTGTTTTATTATCTTGAGAATTACCTTGCTTAGTTTCCTATTGCAAATGGCTGTGTAATTCGGTGTCGTTTAATTATAATTAATAAATAAATAAAATCGACTAGTTCTTTGG